GTATGTAAAATTCTATTCATGCATTTGAAAAGTGATGAAATCCAACCATTTTTAAATTTTATTTATACATTTTATATACTGTATTTATTTATTTATTTTTGCATTAATTTTTGGTCAATTGTTTAACCCTTTAAAAGCATAGGCACAACCACAAGGGGGCAGAATTCAGTATTATATAACATTGACGTGGTATAGCTAAAAAGATCAAATAAAAGGAATACAATTGTTAGAATCTGGTTCAGGGGACAAAATCAATATTTACAAATACAAACTTTAAAAAAAAATGTAGAGAGAAATAAAATAGACCGCATTTACCTTTTAACATGTGGTGTGCTCACTAAAGTCTTAACAGAAGTATAGGGTCCACTCTCACTGTGGATGAAACAAGACCTAATGGAATGAAACAGAACAAGCATGTAGCCTCCTGTACATAGCAGCAGCTTTTGTACTAACAAGGCCCCTGGTAATGAGCTAGAGGAGGTGAAAACACACATGCATGAGTGGGCACATACCCACACATGTACACAACGTAAGTAACACGATCAGCACGCTCTCATTTCACCATTACCGTGTAACAGTGGCCGTTGCCGTGGCGACTGCAAGATTTATTTCCCAATTAAGACTTAGCGAACTTGCTCACTTACAAGCAACTAATATCGAGGCTGCACATAAATTACCTCGTGGGTCTATTATTTGCTATTAAACACTAAGACAATTTTGTATCTCCCAGGCAAAAAAAGTTTCTAAATTACTTTCTTCTTAGAATTTTGAAGTTTACATTCAATTACATTTGTTTTTTCCCCTGTGAATAAAAAATATTACTTGTTTATTTCTGTGTATATTTATTCTGGTCATGACTAAATGATCTGCTTGCATGCCAGATCTAATTGCCAATTATTGTAGCCACAAGAAACATCGATGGCTGCACACAAATACCTTGGGGATATAGTTTATCTCTTTTAGTGATCTAAACTTTAATTGTTATAAAGTTTCATTTATTTGATTTATTATTTTTGGCATGTTTCTAAATATTCTCTAATAATGCCTGCTACTTTTAATTGCCAATTAATGTGCTAGCAGAAAAAGATGAAATCTAACAGGCTTTGGGTTCAATAACAAGCTTTTTCATCTATCTCGCACCAAATGAAGATAAACAATACACGGATGGATGAGGGAGTCGGCAGCAGGCAGGTGGGACCGTAATGGAATCAATTAGAAAAACAGCCAATGATTTATATTCGGTGTTGATAACAAAGCAAGCTTAATTTACTTTTCTTTTCCTCTCTTACTGATATAATTTGTTCCTAATGCTTATGCATGACTCACAATACTTAGATGTTTCTTTCTTTCACAGTGTGTATCCAAATAGGCGTGCATACATTGCATTGTGTTTGTGAGCAAACAAAGTGTTTAATATAATAACTCATGCAATATTAATGTGCAGGCTATATTAGTGGTGTTTTGATGAATAATTTGTTTCCATGTTCGTGTGTGAATGTGTGAAATCGAAATTGACAGGTTTTGAAATGCAAATGTTAACATATCTTTGTAATAAAGGCTTTCAAGGTAGTGTGCAGCTATTGCACTGCATCTTTAATGATAGAGTGTGCATATGCTGCCATGAATGCAAGCACAATGTGACATGCACAAATCTATATTTAAATAAATGAATCAGCAAGTGAAACTCTTAATCAAATAGTCAATTGGTAAGCCAGCACACTAACTAACTCCTCCTTATGTTATTATGGTCATATCTCAAACTTGACCGTCACCTACAACTATGAGATTAGCAAAATTGCAAAATGTAGAAACAGACAATTTAAAATAGTACAGCATAAATATAGTCAAAATAGCAATTACCTTAACACATTAACTAGCAAAAGTCAGATCAGAGAACCAACACTTTAAACTCCCCATAATGAATAAACTGGTTTATAAAATGAACAAAATGTCAAATTAAAATTCAGCATTACAGTGGGGCTGGATCATCTCCTATTAGAAGTCCAATTAATGTGAATGGTGACAAAAGTGAAAATCTGATTTCTTTTTAGCTCATACTGTTACTGCTGTGCTTTTGAGAACAGAACCTAGTGTGGCCCTCATTACTGCCCCATGTATTCACTTTAGTCCTGTCTCTATCCACTGCTCCATCCCACATTCCTCTCACCACCTCTTCCTGCTGTATGCAACAAAGTTTGGCTTCATCTGCAATTAGTCCTTCCTGTGTCACGGCGCGCTCTGCTGAGGCGTCCGGGCACAGATGTTTTGGAGCCTCCAGCCTTAACCCCTGCAGTTCTCCCGGTAATGATCGACTTGTTGGACAGTAATTAGGTAAAATTAATCAGCGATCGCACAGGGAAACATTGCAGCGCCTCCTCGTTACTTACCTCAGCTGTAGAGTGACACAATAGTTTACTGTCATATGTCTGGATGGCTTTAACCTTGTGAAAAGTGCTTTAATAGAACGTACCATCTGGTTACGTGGTCCTTGTATCACTGTGAGTTCTCTCTAAGACATGCATGTGCTAGGCATGTGTCCTACGTGGATAGCTGTGCAATTATTCTGTGATTTCTTTTTGTTTTGTTTTCCTTTTTCCTTGATGACATGGTTGAATAAACTGAACTGAATTTACCTCATGTTCCTGGGATAGACAACTATTGAATAAACAAAACCTAAAACTTATATAACATATTTTACAACCCCTGTAACCTTGAAATAAAGATTGCCTAATAATTATGTGAGTGTGAGTGAGTTAAGAGTGATTGTGTTTGATGAAGTTTCACATGATTAAAGCTTGCCATTGTTTGCACAATGTTTATAGATTTGACCGTAACAGTAGCAAGACTACATTTGTTGCTTGAGAATGAAGTTCGACATTCATCCAGATGAGAGGAGTCCAAACTATGGCCTAGGAGTCAATACTTTCAGAACAATTTCTCTTGGCCCTTAGGCCTCTTAGTGTATTGGCCGATAATCCCCTGAGAAGTACATTTTGGAGTGACAGAGCTAGTATTAATTAATAGTATTCTGAGACTGAATTAAGATGTGGTGTGGAATTTGGACACCACTGATCTTTGCAAGCTCAAGCTCAAGCTCGCAAAGCCACAAATTATACCTTATTAGTGCCAGTATGAATCTTTCATTTGGACCTCTCTGACTGAACCTGGGCAAAGTTATTACCATATCCACTTTTTCAATCTCTGACTCTTTTCATGTTTTGAGATCCCTCTTTTATCGCAGTTGTTCTATTTTTCATCACAACTTTATCCTCGTTCATACCCTCAAACACTTTTTAAACTTAAAGAAATCAGATCCAGGAAAGGAAAAAAAAAATTGGAGAAACCCTGCACGGGGTGATCAGCAGAAAGTTTCTGACACTTCCAATCACCTTTAAGCCGCTGTTTAATGTTTTAGAGGCAGCTGGTCTGCTTTTAGAGGGCTAAGACAGCCTCTTGTGTCTGCTTGTCTGCTGGGGTTTTGGAGCCCGATACCTGTACTGCACTTTTCTCTCATCTTTTCACACTAATTAGAGAGAGCTGGTGGGGACACACGCCACACCACTGTGCACAGGTGGCCAGGCTTACTCAAGTTATGAATATTATTTTTGACAACCAATGCCATTGCTATCTATCTTGTTAATCTATTTAGGTCAGCAGTTAATTTGTAAAAGGGAATTAATGCTGTAGACTATGTACGCATGTGTGTCGAATTGGCTCCACAGGTAATCTCTGGGACAGGGCTTGAAGTAGCACGCTCCTTTGGCTTGTGCATTTCAAAGTAGAGAATACCAATTAAAAGTGATAAGGCTCAATATGGGATTTTGGGCTGCCACAGTGATGCACAGACATACAACATGAGAATCAATACCTGCTCTTTGGTCTTCAGGTCAGGAGGGTTCCAGGAGCAGACGATGAAAATGGGGTCTCCGGGGGCAGCGGCATGGACAGACTGAAGGAGAGCCCTAAAGGAAGACAGAAATTAACGACTACAGTCTCTGATGTTTTAGGACTGCACTATTTCTGTGATCTGAATTTTAATATTTAAGAGAAAGAGAGGAGCTAGCCAGCTGGGTAATGATTAGTTTCATTTTCATACTTCATAGTACATAATTATTTCGATTAACTATGTTATAGATTTAGTTATTGTATTATCATTATTTGCTTTATTCATTTCTTTGAACAAATATGTAAACAAGGTTATATAATCATAATAGATCACAGGTGTCAAACATGCGGCCCGGGGGCCAAATCCGGCCCTCCAAGACCTAACTTTTCTACTAAAATATTTTAATTCTATTTTTTATTAAAATATTGTTAATTTTCTGTGGTGTTTATCACAGCAGTGTCTTCAGCGTCTCTGTACATGGCCCCTCCCACCAGAGCAGCATAAATGAAGACTTGTCTCTTTCCAAATGCTCTTAAAGGACAATTGTTTTGACTGTTGACCGTGACACCTTCATCAGCAAAATGTCCAAAATGAGAAAAGTGGACGCCGAGTGCAGGATTTTCCAAGAAAATTTACTTATTCCCATTTATACAAGTTAATGTAAAACAAGTTCATCTTAAAACATTGTGTTGAAACTGTATTTTTTAAGTTTCAGGTTGTTGATAATATTATAATATTTTGTAAAAGAAAAAGTTCATCAATTAAAAAGATAACAGATTTGTGTTTCTCTGCACAAATATTTGAACTTATTGTTATTTCTGGGGTTTATATGACATGAGTTTTCTGATCAGGCCCCTTAGAGATCAAAGTAGGTTGGATACGGCCCCCAGACCAAAATGAGTTTGACACCCCTGATAATAGATGTATACGCTCAAAACAGTATGTGGTGTAGGTACATAATTAACTATGGCATGTGTCAAATTTGACCTTTCACATGTTTGAAACTAAGAATTCTTTAGATTCTGTAAAAATGTGTTATATGCAATAGTTAATTTTCACAATTCAAAACACAATTAGTAACATGATAGTGCAAAGATAACTTTCAACAATATAGTCATTGTTATTGTTATTTTTATTATCACAAACATACAAAATGATTTAAAATGTATGAAGTTTTGTAATTACAAATTATTAATGCTTGGTTCACTGCAAAGTATATTGTCTCAAATGTATTTATGATCCAGAATCTTTCATCTCCCTGCAGCATATTATATTTTTTAATGTGTTGGCATTAACAGTTCAGATATTCAACCACTTGTTGACACACAGGTAAGAGTTAAATACCATCCATGTGTACAGTTCTGTTCTCAGCTGCAGATCACACTTTGCCAAGGCACTTTAATGTGCTATCAAATACAGTACGTTAAAAGCCAGCAAGTGTGTCTCTGTCTGCATGCAGTCTTTAAGGTTTAATGCATTTTGACAAGGAGTGTATTATGTTGTTACATATAATTAACTAATATTAACTGATTGTGTTCATTGTCAGAAGGTGTTTGAACATATGAATTTGAAAAATATATGAACTTTATGGTTTTCCTTTCCAAAGCTCAGACTCAGGCTGGACCCAGTCATCTCCCATGATGCTCTGCAGTCGGAAATCTTGGAAATACTGCAGCAGGTGGCTACAAGAAACATAAGACAATTACATATCTGAAAATGCACTTATTGGCCCTCGCCCTAACAAAGTTTCGTCGGTTTCTTTTTTTTTTTTAATTCCCTTTTCCAACCAAACGATCGCATTTTTGACCCCCTGAACATGGACGAAAAGTCCCCAAACCGGGGTTCAGATCGATCGGCCCGGCGAAAAATTTGATAAAATGGGCATCGTGACAATGACCAAAGTGACCCGACTCAACAGCGCCACCTAGAATTCGACCCCTATGGGAGTAGGGTCAAGCAAAGTTTGTCGCAGGGAAACGAAATTTGGGACAGTGATGGAGAACAATGAGACAAGCCAAAAGATGAATTGGAGCATGACCCTATGACGAACAGGAAGTCGGCCATATGGGATCAAACATTCGGCACCGTTTTGACTTGGGGGTCTACAAAAAGATTCAAGTCCCCGGGGTTTAGTCCAAATGAGCTCAAATTTGACATGTCACATCTACAGACATAGCTTCACTCAAATCTTCCATGTTTTTGGGATACTCCTTACGGTTCGCCCGTAGCACGCCGGCGAATAACGCCTTCATTTCCTGTTTTTTCGGTGACCTGTCACGGCCACAGGCATTGTGGCATTTCAAACAGTAGACTTCACAGAGGAGACTTTACAGAGTAGATTTCACAGAGTAGGTCGCACTTTTTATCTGCGTAACAGTAAGTACAGCAACACTTACAAAACAACTCAATTATAAAACAAAAATGGCCAGAAATAACAGAGGAAATATACCCTTGACCTTAAACCATGACCTTAAACTAAAGAACTGTGGTCTTCGTGTGATAAAGAGTAGAGGGGTGTGCAAAAATATTGAAATATCGATATATCGTATCGTTTAATGTGATGACACAGTATCGATATTGTGGGCTGCTCTATCGATATATCACCAAGAGTATTTTTGGTTTATTTTACTAAATGATTTTGTTACAGCTACAGTTTCGTTGTTTGTTTAGTGGAAGGAAACTCATTTGACATTTTCGCTGTTTTGAGGATTAAAATGTTTGTGTTTCATATGAACTTTGCACAAGAAGTGGTTTAACAAAGATTTTCCATGATTTAGCCTTTATTTTTTACTGAACCGTATCGAATCGAAAGCGCACATATCGCTTAACGGAAAAGGCACATTTAGCTGAGCTTGACACAGAGCAAATCGTACAAAGATTTCAGATTTAAATCCTTGCTGTGTTGCCAAATCAAATGTGAGTACCAGCTATTCTTGTTTTATTTATTTACACACATCTTTTTAGGGGGGGGGCAGGAATTTTAATTTATTTATTTATTATTGTTTTGTTTTATAATGAAATTATTTTTTTGTAAAAAAAACAAACAAATAAACAAAAAACTACACTACTTACAAGTTTGGTTTTTGGCCTTCTACAATCTCCTCTTTAGGAATTGAGTAAAGTGCTTCATAAGTGCGTTTCTCGCCAGATCCATGAATGGCATAAGAGTTCATCTTATTAACATTGGGAGGGAAGTAACCCCAGGGAATTAAAGCTTCTCCCATCCATCTATCTCCAGTGATTGTGGCTCTAAACACCATAGGGAGTTGTTGCTGAAGGGGAAAAAAGAATGATTTATAACACTGATAACAACAATATAGTTTTACAACACTATGTTGTGGTTACTGGTAACCATAAATATTATTTCCTGCTTACCACAAATGCTTGACCAACACCTGATAGCAACAGTATGAGGTGTTGTCCATGCCTAAAGAAAAAAAAAAGTTACTATAAACAGATTTTTAAATAAGCTGTCACAAAAAAGGTATCACTTACGGACACACTTCCACCTCAAGGTAGTTTTCTGTAGTGTCGTCCAGAAAGAATGATTCTACAACTACAATAAGAGCAAAAGCAAATATTGTATAAGATGTATGTTGCCATAAAAAAGGGCAACAATATGGGCTATATACTTAAGGAAAGATAAATAAAGAATATAGAAGTATAGATCTAAGATTATACCTACTTAGATCATAATAGGGTTGCACCTTCAATATGTTTCATAATGAGGCCAAATACGTGGGGCTCATTAATTAGAAATCCAACTTACTTTAGGTCAATTAGACTCTACTGTTATTACTCATCTTCATTATGGGGTAATTGCTTTGTCACTAATGTTAATGAATTTGTTATTAAGATTTAGTGTCACAAACAGACCCATGCTTCTCATGGCATATCGACTAAACTGATCCTCAGACTTGTTCAAGTGTATACCTATATTATACCTAGCCCTAGAGTAGCCACATTTATTCCTGTTACTAGACTGTTTTTATATCTGGTTTAAAACTATAAGGTAGGGCTAGTTTAAGTCCCTGTTTAGAACTTATTACTAACTATAAACAGTGTAAGATGGTTCTTTGAAAGCAAAGTGTTTCTGAAAGCATGTTACTTCTTCTCTGTTCATTTATACAGTACCTTCATAATCCCAGAGTCCAGGAAAGGTATGTCCAGGAGGTCCAGGGGGAGCTGCAGGGTCATTAAAAAAGGGACCAAATACTTGCATCTTCAGACCCCCTTCCCAGGGTGAGAAAATAATCCTGATAGGATCATGGTCGACAGGATTACTGTCCCAGGTGTGTTCAATGGCAAACTCCAGATGGTTTGTGAGACTGCAAAAAAGAAACAGACTGAATAGTGTCATGTTGTGGTAACAGAAGAGCCAAGACATGTTCACTTACAGACATTCTGAAAGCTGTAGAGAAGCATAAAGGAAAGTCAAAAACTGTAATCCACGAATTTGACCCATGTTGTCTGAAACTACAAGCCTTGTTTCAGCTTAGTGTGTTTCCCAACTTTCCTGTTATGAATTCATAGGCTAATCTTGTGTTGTTATCAATAATAGCTCTGTTATCCAGTAACTCTATAATGTCATAAATATTGATTAAGATGGGTCTCACTCATAAACACTATTGGCCTTTACTGTTTCCATCTAACACACAAACCATACCTGTATTATTGTATTTCAAGCTGCATACAGTTGCCTAACTTTTGTAGTCTTCAAGCACTAGCTAACGCTCTATCGTAATCTTCCTTTAATCCTTTCTATCTATCCTTTATTTAAGTTAATCCTTTATACCTAACATTAAACGAAATATCCGAATTAAACGTAAGTACGTAAGTAATGAGTAAAAGCAGAGTAAAAACCTCATTTCTTGTTTGAAATGAAACTCCAAAGGAGCAGACAACTGGAACTCTTCTTCCTCGTTGTTGTACCCGGAACACTTTTAGTGTTGTACCTGTAGTTTGCGCTGATTGGTCGGGTTTTGTTCCTCTTCAAAACAGACGGCGCCGCGACCATGAATCTGGGGATTTAAAAAGCTCTGATTTGCGTTTAATCTTCGTATAGAATGAAGTTTTTGTTTTTTATTTAAAGCCATAGTTTTAAATACATTTACGGCTGATGAAAACACTTTATTTGACTAAACCAATTTAGTATATTTTCCATAATATAATCTCTAATTGATTAGCTTTATCAGTTAGCTTAAAGCTAGTTTTGTGAGCTAATGTTTGGTAACCACAGCTGACAGTCAGAGCAACACCATATGCCTTTTGGAAAGCTACGATACAGAGATACGGAGTTAATTTTTAAAAAGCCATGGAAGCTGAATTAAACTTTTTGCGGGACCAAGGTAGGAATTTGATAAAATTGTGCAGCTAACTTGTCAATTTGATACAAAATTCAAACATTTGAGATGTTGTTCAGACGTATCTACAATAAACCTTAGTCCATATTTGAATTCGGTAGGAATTGTGTGTGTATTTTCAGGCTCGTTTTTTTATTGTATTATTTAATTATTAATTTATTAATTATATAATTAATACAAATAATATGGCATTTTAACATATATATATATTTTATTATCAGTCCAGAGGTTAAATTCTGTCCTGAGCCAATATCAGCATGGGCATAACCCTCAAGTCTCGGCACAGGTATGATCCACTTTGATATGCAGCTCATAATGGTGAAAACTCATACCACGTAAATTGCTTTAATTTATTTCACTGTGAGTTCAAGACATGGAGTAGTGTGTTTTTTAAAACAGTTGAGAAAATATCAGTTTAAAAATATATTATGTTTAGGGTGAAGTGGAAGCACAAGCACAACCCACCACTCCCTGGATTACTGACAGGAGGTTTGGCTTCTCATGCTTTGACACATACAGCCAGTGGGTCTTGATTTTATTTTGTTGCTGTTTAATGCACTCCTCATACAATTTTAAATATTACAGTATAATGGCTCCCTTGATCGATGAATATGATCGTCACATAGAGGAAATGATGGAACAGCTACAGAAATACCAGGTACACTTAGTGTATTTAACTTTAACAATTTAACTGTCACAACATCCATTATTTTTTCTGTCACATATACAGGTACAAATGGCAGACATAAAAGTCAAGTTGGACAGAGTTGTCAAGGAGAACGAAAGGTATGCGTATATTAGCCCTTTACCAGATAAACTTCAAACTTCAAGTTGTCAAGGCAGTCAAGATATGATAATGCCACTAATGCCATTAGCCAGGCATTGATTTGTAAAATCAAGGCTTCCCTTTGAATTTTGTAGCCTACTATGAGGAATGAACAAAATGTATTAAATAGATATTATATGGTGTAGAGTATTAATATTCATCAGGAAATATGGTGGTCTTTTAGTCTTGACAAAGGTCATGTTCATTTGTTAGTGACCTTCCACTTGACTATGTGTTAATTAAAATCACCTGCCAAAAACGGAATGACTGTGGCATTAGCGAGGCAGGCTATATTTATACTATATTTAAAAATGTCCTTTTGAACTCCCACTGTTTTCAGGCTGCACACTGAGCTCAGAGAGTCAGTGGAGAGGCAGTTACATGCCATCCCAGTGTCCTCAGCAGCAGAGAGCAGTACAGTGGAGGAGGAAACCATCATCAAAAACCTCCAGGAGCAGATACAGTTGTCTGAACAGGTTTTTATTAGAATTTATAATCCTTCACATCACCTATTCATATATTTTAATAATTCATATATTTTAATAATTAGGAGCGAGGGCAGGCCATGGAGTTGTGGCAGACAACCTCTCAGGAGCTAGATCGTCTTCAGCAGATCCATCAGAAGTCTGTTTCTGACACACAGATGCATGATGCCCAAAAGAAGCAGCTCGCAGTTCAGTAATTATTGTGTCCCACATACCACTAGATGGAGCCATTACCATTAAAATGCCATTTCAGAAGCCAACTAAGCTTTAGATTTTAAGAGTCTTGGTTTAACTATAAGCAGTTAAATTTTATCTATGTTATTTTTTTCTTAATAGGATCAGCTTGTCCAGTTACAGCAACAAACACAAAAGCTCCTACTGGACAATCAGAAGCTGGAAATGGTAAGTGTTGGTTGATTAAAAGGTAGTTTTATTATTATCTTCTATTTTAATTGTGTGATCGAATTGTCTGACTAATGAAAGTGAACAATATCTTCTGTAACTTTGTATCTCTGTATTATCTACCCAGGCCTTGTCATAATTTGTTTGCTCCTGGTAATCTACTTAGTTTTTTCAAAGGACACGCACATACATACACAGTGACATGTTAGCTGCGTCCTACACTTCAGCAACAATGGGGAGTAATACTATAGCCCTCTGATGAATATTTAATGTATGGGTTGGCCTTGGGCTTTCGCTCAGACTTTGGTATATTTGAGACTGTGGTTGGTGGACAGACAGAAGGACTTACCAGAAGTTTTATACTGGAAACATAGTTTAAATAAGCTAATATCTTGGTTAGAAGATATGCCCCATAAATGGAACTCCTGTCTTTCTTGCCACACACAGACCAACCAGCAGTTTCTGAAGACTTTAACTGAGCAGACAACCGAGATGGAGGAGCTACAGAGTTACAACAGGTAATTATAATTTTACAATTTGGTGGAAATCTGATGACATGGTAAATATATATACCATGTTGCTGTCTTGTTGCAGGCAGTCTAAGGCTGAATTACGGACAGCCACAGCCAAAGTAAATGAGTTGACCAAATTATTGCAAAATCTCCAGGAACAGATGCAAAGACAGGTGAGTATTCAAATTGGACAAAGTGGAATCATTAAATAAAATAAAATTGACCAAGGTACTCTGTATGTGCTCAGGAAGAAGATGTAGCCGAGGCTCAGGGGCGGGAGAATGCAGCTGACAGAAGACTGCAGCAGCTTCAGTCCGCCTTGGGCCAACTAGAGTCCAGGTGAGGATGTTTCAGTTAACAGGCATTGTGCATTACAGTATTCATTTATTCAGTCTATTACAAGATCTGTTTTACACAAAGTTGAATCTTGTGAGCTTTAAGCCATGTTAGAAAGCCATTACCTCTTCAGTAACATACCCAGAATTTTGTTTTGTTTCATTCACACATGTTTGAGTAATCCTTTATCAAGTCTGTCTACATCTCCAAAGCTCAAAATGGTCTGTTCAACCCTGTGATGTCATGTAGTAGTAATTTTCGAGTAGAGTGAGTAGAGATTGGCAATTTCAGAGCTAAAGTCATCCAAATGATTCTAGTGAAGGTGTATGGAATGGAACACAGTGGAGCACTTCCTGTATTATCACATGACATCACAAGGTGGAACAGTGTTTTCTGTTTGAAAGCAGTCTTAATATATAGAGTTTGTGTGTTAAACATGTGAAAGAAACAAAGTGCAACTCCACGTATGTTTTTAATAAGAAAACTACATTATAACAGATCAGAAAATACCGTAATATGGGCCTTTCAAGGTCACACAAGTCCATAGATTTTTTTAAAAAGTGCATGTTTAGTATTAGAATATTTTGACTGTGATGCTAGTCTTTTTTACTCTTACTAGATTAAATGCTGCAACACAGGAAGCAGAAAGTGTTCGCAGAGAGCAAAGTGTTTATGAAAAAAAGGTTGGGGAGCTCCAAGCCCGTTGCACCACTTTAGAGGAAGAGAAATATGCAGCTCTTACCAAGGTCCGAGAAAGCATACAGACAGCGGAGGAGGCTGCACTGCAAAAAGAGCAGGTACATCGTTCTGTTAAGAACAGAGCATCTGGGCAAATATGTCTGTCATTTTGGTTCACATTTTCTGACGGTGTACTTGTGCTTCTTTTTTCCCTCAAGGCCCTGTTAAGAGAAAAACAGAAAACAGAGGAACTGGAAAAGACAAAGGAGACTATAAAGCAGTTGATACAGGATGCAGCAGTCCGTACTAGAAAAGAGGTGGGCTCCCACTCCCCATTACAAAAATATTACAAGAGAAAATTTAGTTTTAAAGCTATGTTTTGTTTTGTTTTTATCAACAGGTTGAAAATGTTCGGAAACAGTACAGTGTTCAAATTCTCAGGATGACAGAGGAGCTGTCTGCATTACAGCTAGTAGGAGTCTCTTAAGATGATAGATCTTGTCAAAGCAAAATTGGCTTCCTTACATTTTTCCTTTGTCATTTCAGGAATGTGCAGATAAACAATCACAAACTGAAAGGTCACTTCGAGAGAGAAAGGCTGTAGAGGAGGAACTGGAGAAGGTTGATTACAGCAAGAACAGTAATAATATTTTTTTTTAAATGAAGTCATTTTGCTATAATTTCTGTATTTAAGGTGTATAAAGAGGGACGTGCGGAGCCAGAGTTCAGAAAGATAGAGGCTCTTCACCACAGGTGTCTGGAGGCCGAGAGAAGGAGAGAAGACATTAATCTCACTCTACAAAGCACTCTGAGCAAACTGAAGAAGATGGAAATGGAGTAAGTGGCCTATCCCAGTTTCAGTTCTCACTCCTCTTGGAACAGTAAGGTGACAGCAGGAGTGGTGCCAGCACACTTCCATCTGCTACTATTAATGATGTTAGCATGGAAACATCATGTTATCTCCTCTCCATCTGCCCAGCTCACCCTTCCCTTTTCATGTGTTTACCATTCTACAGCTACAGTGAAGAGCTGTCCCGGTGCCAAGAGGAAGTACGACGTCTGCAGAACACTTTGACTACAGCCAGGGAGGAGTGCGTAAGCATCAGTGAGGAGCGCCTTAAGCTGCAGCAGGAAAACACTCAACTCCGCAAAGACATGGATGATTTAAGAAAATCAAACGTGATTGATCAAAAGAAAGCCAAGCAACGGGTAATGGTTATTACCATTGGTTTGAAATGAGAAGCTGTAATTACTTCAAATGATTTCTAACAATTTACAATTACTATTTCAGATGTCACAAATTGAACAGGAGTATTGCTTGAAAGAGCGAGAACTGGATGCTCAGATTCGTGAGTTGGAAGAAACAGGCAAAAGAAATAGTGCTGATCTAACCCGGCTTCTCACAGCACAGCAAAAAACTACTCAGCGCTGGAAAGAAGAGGCCAAAAAGCTGATCCAGGACTTTGAGACTAAAATAATGAGCCACAAGTAAAGAAACAACATAAAGTTACACTTTCAATGTGATTCAAGTAAATATGTTATCCATAGTATTTTGTTTTTTAAGGTCAGAGCTGAATCGTCAGAAGCAGCGTTCACATGAGCTTGAATTGCAGCTTGAAACTGATCGTGCCACTATTGCAGAGGTCAGTTTGAAATCAAACCATACTGTCTGTGTGCAGGTATATTCTTACTATGTAATGCATTGCAGTATGAACGACAGCTAGCAGAGTATCAGGAGAAGTCCAGCCGTCTTCAGCTACGCCTCACACAGGCTGAACAAAAAGCAACTACAGCTACACATCAGGTAACACATTTGGTCTGTAGCCTTGGAAGTAGCATGGGATTATCCTTAACATAATTTGACATTGAGTTTATTTAGGAGTGCAAAACTCATTCTCATCATATATTCTGTTTTTTTCCTGCCTCCAGCTGAATATGATTGCATCACGTCAGAGGAAAAGACCCATGGGCGACACAGAGACGATATGATGATATGGCAACTCCACCTCAACCTCCACCTTTTTTTTTTATGTAATACTAATTGTATTTGTATGTGTATGTTACATTTGGGAGATGATAGGTGATAGTCTAATGTTTACAGAATACATATTTGTAATGGAATTGTGAATTGAGTTATTCTTAAATTAAATTGTTTATATATATTTTTTATGTTCTACCTTTTTATGATAACATTAAACCTTACATCTTTGTTCATGGTTTTGTCATACAATTTTCACCATTCGTGTTCACTGCCCAACGTGCCATTGTTTAGTTGCGTTGCACGCCGGGAAACCAGTTTGTTGCTAGGAACCATCAACTTTACTACACGGAGTTCAGGGCAATGAAATGAACAGCGCAGCGCAACAAAACACGTCAAAGTCTTTTAGGGTGACCAAACGTTCGTTTTTCCCCGGACATGTCCGTATTTTGCGTCATGTCCGGGGCGTCCGGGTTTGGTTTTTTTATAAAGTGATGCAAATGTCCGGGTTTTCAGTACCGTTCATTGGGGGCATTAAACTGAGCGTCTCTAGTAGCGTCTGTGACTCAGAAGGAGCGAGCAGACACGAAGTCGGTCAGTCTGCAACATACCAAAGCACAAATGCGCATTTAACAATGACTTGTACAAGAAATTCTCCGTTTTCCGTCCCGGTCGGGACAAGTGGGAGTCCATGTGCACAGTTTGTGAGGTGAGAGGACAGTGTCCCTCGTTTATCGCGGGGGTTACGTTCTTAATATAATCCGCGATAGGTGAAATCCGCGAAGTAGTCAACTTTATATTTTACAAATATTATATCTGTTTTAAGGCTGTAAAACCCCTCAGCACACACTTTATACACTTTTCTCAGACAGGGCAGGTGCAACCCTTTTTACTTCCTTCTTAAAACTTATTGCTGCTGTCGTCCTTGTGTTATTTTCCTCCTTTATGTAACAAACTGAAGATTAATTTATTCCATAATGGAACCTACAGCGCAGAGTCCCGCACGGGTCCATTTTTGGAGACCCCCGGTACAACACTACACCCGCGCAGGACAGGACCGCACCTGCCCGTTAACCCGACATTATATCAAACTTTTGCGCTGCCTACGCCACGGACTGAACCAAGACTAAACCAGGACTAACCCAGGACTAGAGGTTCCAGCCCGACCCGACCCGGCCCTGAAGAGGAGGACTAATCCACGACTGAACTAGGACTAAAACAGTACTAAACCAGAAGTGAAACAGGACTCACCGTCAGGACGGGCTTGGAGGTGACCACAGGAGAAAGGACCGGCTCAGCTCCGTACCTCACGGAGGTAAACGCGGCAGTTGCCCGATCGCGCTTTGCGGACAAACTGCTCGGCGTTTTCTCTCTTAAGTCCAAGATTAGTCCTGGTTTAGACATGATTTAGTCCTGACCCACCCGTGTGTAATTACTACCCGCCTGTAATACACAATACCCGTTCATACGCTGTAAAAAATTGCAAAATTGCACACAAAAAAAAAAATCCGAGATCCCCCCCCCCCCCCCCCAAAAAAAAAGTGTCCGGGTTTTCACAAACGGAAATATGGTCACCTTAGTCAGTTCTTTTTTAGAAGGGTAAGAAGGACGTGTAAATGATTATTTCTTTCATCTGTGCTTTGTAGCGAAAAGGTTTGTCATGGGCATAAGTACGTGCTGTCAATGTCCGGAGAACCTTTTAACTGTGTAACCCAGTTTGTGTAACCGTTGACTGTGTAATATTGCGGTGGTTAGGTCGTATCGCCTTTACTTTCATAGATAAACTTCATTTTGAAGACGCAAAATGATTTATAAATGCAGCGGCTTATAATTAATCTATGACATAAATGATGCGTTTGAAGCAGGATCGAGAGGCTGGTCCTGTTTTTAACCCTCGGCCCATCCAGTCCTAACCACAGACTTACATTGTCATTTTCATGTCAGGCCACTAACTAGGCCTATTTAAAGTTGGGGCGGGGCAGACTGAAGTTCCCTCGCACAGTATGCTTCGCTTTGAGCTACATTCTTGCATCCTGCACTAAACTGATTAGCAGGCTAATAATTAATGGATAATTAAAGGCAGGTTACGTTTGTCTTGCCTGTGTTACAAAAAGATGCGTGATAGCCGTCACATAGACCTATAGAGATCTGGGGAACTCTTGCGGCACAGGTGGGGACTTGCAAGTCATGACTTGGACTCCAATTCAGACTTGACTCACTATTTTTAGGACTTGAGACTTGACTAAAAAATAAAATGAACTAAGACTTGGTACTCGACTTGGACTTGAGACCTGTGACTTGAGAAGTTGATGCTTCTTCTAAAAATTGATCTAAATGAAGTATTGTGAGATTGTATCCTCAAATGTCTTACAGCAATATACAGTACAATACAGTAAAACAGAGGGAACTACACAACATGATCCTTCCATTTCAGTGCAGATAAAATAGCTGTTATAATAGCCATAATTATTCACACTAAGGTCTTATCAAGACATTTTAAAAGGAAAAATTTACATTTATACAACTCTTATATAAATATTCATATAAAATATACCATTATTTTTAAGTAAAAATTTGTTTAAAAGTCATATAAATTGCAAAAATCTAAAGTTTTGAAATTACTTGAAGCTCAAAAGCATACAACTCTGACTTGACTTGGGTTTATGGGCCAGTGACTCGAGACTCAACTTGGACTTACCTGTATTTGACTTTGGACTTGATTTTGACTTGATGTCAAAGAGTTGAGACTTACTTGAGCAATGACTTGGTCCCACCTCTGCTCTGTGGTAAGCACAATTAGCATCCTTTATTACAGCAAATTTTTATTCACAGTGCCTCAGACCTCAGATGACTGCTGACTGATGACTTTTTGGTAACTCTGGCAAGTCAGTTCTAATCTGTTTTTAAATATCTTTTGGCCACATTTTAGCTGAACACCTGTAGATTATTCATGATTACTGTCTTGACCCACTGATGCACTCATTTCTCCTTTTTTTGTTCAATTAAAGGAGCCAATTGGCCAAGCTCCTGTAACAACAAAGCAATATTTAAATTTAATTTTTTTATAGTTAAGATTTTTGAGAGGCCAAAATGCATCCATCTGTCTTCATGCAGGTTATATTCAAAGGACAGAAACCATGTCTTTTCCTGCCATGAACCTGAAGCCTGGCATGAAGCAGGGCATAAGTCATGAGGAGATTCTGAAAAAGATGTATGTTCCGGGATGGGACAGTGTGCGTCCTTCACAACAAGCACAGGCTCGGGCTGAGGCCATAGCCAAAGAGAGGGAAAGGATGGAGCAATTTGGGGAGAAGGCACGCCAAATGCGACTGCTCTCCAAGAAAAATGAAGGTTCTGCCTCTGTCCACTCCAGCATCCTCCCACCCCTGCCAGCAGCTGACAGAATACGTACATCGCAGACCCCAGTGTCTCTCATTCGCCCAGGCTCAGACAGCAAGTCCAAAGGTAAGTCAGTTTATTGTATTTTATCATAAAACACTGCTCCTTCATAATCAGTCTTTTTCGTAACACTTTGCTACACCAGTTAGGCTTATTTTAGCATAAAGAAAGACTTAATTCATAATAAACAAATAGTATGAATGATTTAGGCATAGTAGCTCAGTTATTCCTAATAGCCTAAGTCCTAACCCCTTAATTAAGTAATTATTAAGCCTGAATGATTCTTCATAAAATACTGATAGCTATTTCTTCATTATGATTTTTTTTTCATGCTTTATTAAGGCTAATGAAGGCGTAGGTATTATAAGTGTAATTATCTTTTTTGTGTGTGGCAAACAGAACCTCCAGTGAAACAACATCGAATAGCATCTTTACGACCTCCTGCTCGACTACCTTTACTGCAGTCACATTCAAAGGTCAGGGATGAAAGTAAATCTAGTACTTTATTTATTAATTTATTTACAAATTTATAACACAAAATTGAACAGCTACAAGAGGTGCAATCACAATGTCTGGTGCATAATAGAGATGTCTTCCAAAATTTGTATACTGTACTATGTGTGTTTTAAGGTGCATAATGATCTGGATAATTTTCATGGGTTGGTAAAGGAGCTGGCCATAAGTGCTTGTCAAAACGCTTTCCTACAGCTGAAGCCTTGTGGTAAATATGGTGTGTAAGCTCATTTGAACGTGTGAGGTTGACAAAGATAAGGCTTGCTCTGTAAATCTATGATTATATTTTGCAGAGGAAGAAAATAATGAGAGAAGACGAGATTCTCTCACAAAACGGTTACAAGGTTAAATATGGTTTGAGCTTTCCCTCATATTAGATATGCTTTTTAAAAAAGCACATTTACTTAATGTTTTCAGTATTATAGGTGTTCTATTATGTACTTTTGTTTTCTTTCCAGTTTTATCCATCTTATTGACTTCATAATTACCAACACACTACACATGTTGGTGCTACATGGCGTGGAGAAAATATTGATGGTATTTCAGGAGCAAGTTGAAAAAACATCAGATTCTTCTCAAATGCAAAACTGGGACATACAGGCCAATGGTGCAACAGGGCCTGCAGCAAATGAGGATAAGAATAACACAGTATGATACTACAATGTTAATGTGAAGTTAATGTTAGTACTTTGTTCTCTATCCAAGTAATCTCCCGTCTTCATCAGGCTGTTGAAGCTGTCCAAGGGCAACCTATTTTCGTCACAGAACTCAAATTTCTGTGGATATGTTGCATTATGCCCCATCAGAGGAAAAATTTCAGGTACATTAATAAATAGTCATTTTTTATTTGAATACCACCCATGTGTAACCTATTATTCTATCAAAAGAGGGCTATTGAGGAGCTGACTGAGCAGTTTAAAGAGACTGTATTATCTGTGCATGCCCTTATGTCCGATCAAGACTTGGATGAATTCATAAACCTCTCAGAAGAAAATAAGGTTAAAATTGCTCACACTTCCTACATTATATAACATTCAGGCTTGCTGTTTTAGATTAGACAGTTTCATGCTAATTATATATAACTGTTTAGGATGAAAAGGGACAACCATGTCTCGGAGCCCTTCTATACAGTGATAGTCACCTTCAACAAGCTATGTCAGAAATCAAGGTGCACTTTCTATATCTATTAATTATAATTTTTTAAAATGTATTTTATAATGTGAATATTAACATAATGATACTTTGCTGTTCTGTTTGACGTTTAGACAGCAATTCACTTTGCTTTTGATACTGCAAGTGTATATGCTCATACATTTGAGCAT